CAGCCCTCACAAAGTCACAGTGGTGAGTTGCTGAGGCACAAGGTGTCCCTGGCAGTGAGGAGCACTGGTGTGGGTGCAGGTCCAAGAGCCGGGCATGGAAGGTGGGCAAGGCTGCGGTGAAGATCACTGGGGAGCGAGAGCCTCTCCGATCAAAACGACAGGTCCGAGTGCGACAATGTAAGTGCCTGACTGTCCTCACCGCCGTGGGTGCCTGCAGAGGGACCCAAAGCCACCCCCTCTTGTGCTCTGAGTCCTGCCCGCCCAGTCCCGGCTCAGGGTGCCCAGACCAGTCTCTGTGCCACAGGTCCTGCGAGGGTGACACCGTCAAGGTCGGCAGGCACAGACCAGGGAGTGGCCTGGGTTAGCTACAGCAGGTGGGGCTCCCCGGTCACTGGCCAAGAGACACTCTGTCTGCACAGCCCAATGTCACTAAAGAAAAGCACTTCAGTGTTGCTTAATTTTACCTGCAACACGAAGCTGAAAGTCAGACTTCATAGGTAAAAATGCCTGATTTTTAAATGCTACCAACTATCCAATGGAAACAAACACTGTGACCCAAACTGCACTGACAATCCGGCCTACAGGGCACCAGCCTGTGGCCCCTGCTCAGTGGGAGCCTTTCAGGCCTGGAACACAGGCGCTACGGGTGTCACCTCCAGACACTCAGGGAAGGCAGTGGAGATGTCCATCGTCAGGGAACTTGCCTACGGCCACCCCATCAGAGAGTGACACAAAGATGTCTCCCAGGGCTCTCTTACTTTCAAGTTCATTCCGAGTAACCTCCAGCTTGGGAGAAGCCTTCTTTCATGGTTGCCTGCCCAGCAAAAGGTTCTTTAAGGAGCAAAGGTTCCTGCTCAGGTGCTCTTGATTTTAAAGATTAAAAACTCCACTCTGTTTATCTTTAATGCCCTTCTTCTAACAGGTCAGGAAACAAGAATCATTAACAGATCCACAAGCCATGCGTCATCAGACTCCCAGGTCAGACCCCAAACCATTCCCAACAGTTCAGCTTTCTGGGAAGCCTCTCGGCCCGCAAACGCTTTCTTCCTCACCACAGGACCTGCAGCCCTTTCTCACCTCCCTTTCTACTTAAAAAGGCTGACACCATCTACTTCAGTCTCACATTTACACAGCACTGAACAGTGTATTAAGAACTAGGGACTTGAGGAGGCTGCACTGCAGGAGGACTTCTCTCTCCCAGCCACTGGCTTCTTGGCCTGCTTGCCTGTGGTCTGCTGCACGACGCTTTTACAGATTCCAGGGTCCTATGAATTAAGCTAGGAAATAAAGGAGAGGCAGAGTTCTGCCGGGCCGGTGGTTGGTTCTCTCTCAACAAGCCTGGCTGCCCACCTTCTTTCAGGACACAGTTGCATTCTGGGGACGCTGTGGGTCCACCTTCCCTTAGCATATGTCCTACTAAGGCGTGCTGTTGACGAATCCCGTTGCCTGCTATGCCCATAAAGTCAAGCACACAGGACCTCTGCGTTTCTTTCTTGTATACCTATTTTTCTTGGAGTTAGTAAGTCCATTTTTCTCTGTTTGTTTGGCTTTCTATGTGTCTGTCACTAATTCGTGCTCAGATTCTTTGTCAGACACGGAACGGTCTGAGGTCCGCTTGCACACACCGAGGCCCGTCCCTGGCACGGACCTCATCCTCCTGGGACCCCCACTCCTGTGTCTATCCTGACTGCTGCTTCCATTCTGCCTTCCTGCCACTGGGTTTACCACAGCCACAGGGCTTTCCTTCGCCTGCCCTTGCATCCCTGACCACATATTTTCCTGTCTCTTGGTTTATTCTGTCACGTGACGATAACTTCCCAAAAGGAAGCAGGAGATGACCTGAGTATGAAATATATGGTTATCCTTACTCTCATTCCTCACTGGAGCTGCACAAAGGACTCCACACTGAAGGTTCACTTCCTTCAGAATCTTGATGGCTTTGTTCTCACGTCAGCTTTAGTCCCTGTAAGTCCAATGTCTCCTCTCTAGTCTCTTTGTTCTCAGATTTCTGAAGTCTCAGGCTGCTGGATCTTAATGTGGATTTATGTTCATTATGCTAGACACCTGAGAGGCCCTTTGATCTGGAAACTTAATGTTCTTCAGATCTGGGAAAATTCTGCATATCATTTCTGATCCTGTCCTCTCCAATCGCCTGCTCAGGTTTCTGAGTTCTCATTTTCCCCCACGTTGCCCATGGTTTGAAAAAGTGTTCTCCAAAGGCCTACATTTAAAGGACTGGTCGAGCTGGGGTTGTAGCTCAGTGGCACTGCACCTGCCTTGTAAGCTTAAGGTCCCAAGTTCGATCCCCCAGTACCACAAACAACAGTAACAATGAAAACAAAATAAAGGCTTGGTCACCAGCCTGTGGTGCTGTGGAGGTACTGGAAGCCTAGGGCCCCGTGGGAGGAAGTTAGATCACTGACAGCATGTCCTTGAAGGGGATACTGAGTCCCTAGTCACATCTTCTTTGCTTCCTGGTTGCCATGAAGGGAGCAGCCAGCTTCAGCCACAAGCGCCCACCATGTTTTTCTGTTCACCACAGGAACAAGCCTCAGAGGCACCATGGACTGAAACCTCCACAACTCTGAGTCGACATAAACATTTCCTAACTACCTACTCATTTCTTTATTGGTACCAGGGATCAAACTCAGGATCTTGCACCTACAAGGCAGGCACAGCACCACTGAACTAAATCCCCAGCTCTTATGCATTTAACTCAGTTTTACTGTACACTTTATATATAAATAATGATCACATTCATCATTGGGCATTTGTACCTATATATAATCGGATTCTTTCTTCCCCCAACCCCTCCCCACATTTCCTATTTATTTATTTTTGGTGCTGGGAATTGAACTCAGGGCCTCACACTTACCAGCCAGGCACTGTGCCGCTGTGATACATTGCCAGCCCCCAAGTTTCCTTTTAAAAAGCTGATTACCTGAGGAATTTTGTTACAGTAATGGAAAGCTGACCAGCATACCCTTTTCATGTGGATGCTGGACCTTTTAAGCTCACTCATCTTCAACCTGGCCCTGATTTTCCATCTCGTGAGGTTTTGTTCTTTCTGGGGGACACTTTTCAACTCTCTTTTACTACTCTCCTTCCATGAGACTGTCAATTCCAATAGTTATATTTCTTTATTTCCAAGGGCTATTCTTTTACTTTCTGAATGTTTATTCTCCATAGCTTCTTGCTCCAGTTTCATGGACACAAAATCTTCTCTTTTCTGAGGATAACTTAGTCCCTGCTGAGTTTGTCTCCTGCTTCTTTGCTCCTGTTAACGTCAGTTTTTCCTCAGGGAGTTGGAGAAAGACTAAAGATGCCACCGAAGCCCTGTGTTAGAGGGCGGGAAGGGAGGAAGCTGCCATTATCTGGTTTCCAGTTAAGGTGGGCTGGCAGGGGTAACTGTTTTCTTGGGAAATCTCCACATTTCACCATCTAGAGGATTTTTCTCTAGGACTTGTTAGCTTCCCCAGAAAAAAAGCCTCCCGCCCCTGGCCTGGGAACAATAAATCTGGCTGTCAGTGTTCTAGAAACCAGAGAGCTCAGGGAGCCCACATTTGTGTTTAGACGGCTCCCGGAGAAACTGTGTGGGTGGAGCTCAGTGCAGACCCCTCATCTAGCAAGCATGGGGCCCTGGCTTCTGGCTGGGCACCCTGGACTCTAAGCCGGAACATGTGAGAATTCTTGCTCCAAGTCAGTCCCTTGCCTGAAGAATCTGACTGCGTAAGTAGCAAAAGTCTAGGAAGCTAGGAGAAGATGAACATCATTAGATAATAAACCGAGATGGCCAAACTGGGGAGGGAAACTGGAGGACTCGCACCTGTGGAGTCCCATCGTCTGTCCCCAGCCTGCTCTGGTCTGAGTTTGGAAAGCCCTGGTATGGCCTCCTGCAGTAACTCAGACTCCTGCCTCCGTGGGAAAGATGGTCTTACCTGGCCGCGCGATGGAAGGCAGGGAGCAAGTGTTCTTGTGCTACTCACACAGACTCCACAGCTCGTCTCCAGCCTTGCCCACACGCGTGCTTTCAAAGGTATCTGTGAGCTCCACTGTCCTAGTTTACCTCAAGTGCTGACACTGCTCTCACGGAGCTTCTCTAGCTTTACCACCCTGCTCAGTCTGTGGCCCTTTGTCTATCTACACCCGTTCTGACTGCTGCGTTTTTTTGAGACAGGGTCTCACTATGTAGTTGAGACTGACCTAGAACTCACTATGTAGCCCAGGTGGGTCTTGAACTCACAGAGATCCTCCTGCCTCAGCTTCCCGAGTGCTGGGATTACAGATGTGCGCCACCACGCCTGGCTCTGACTGGTGCATTTTACTGAAGCTCTGATTCTCGGCTTTTAAAATGGTTCTGTTTAATCAGAAGAGGTAAACGATGTGGGGCAGAAATCAGGAACAAGGAGAAAAGAACTAAGGAAAGTTTTTAAAGTTTTATAGTCTATTCTCCATAGTTTAAGTTTCTCAGAAGGTTCAAACCCTGTATCTACTGTGCAGCCACTGCTTAACCTTATGTCAGTGCATAGCATCTCCTCACTTTAAGTTTCTTACATGGACAAGCGACAATACCTCCTACCCTGCAGGGCTGCGTGAGATCACACAGCACAGAGGAGGCACGGTTGTGTGCTGCTAAAGACTGGTCAATGATGGTTCAGGCAAACGGTTGTAATAGAGCTGAAAAATTGCTACCACCAAGGAACAGTGCTACGGTACAATGCATTTGTGGCAAGGCTGGCATAAACCAGCCTGCAAGGCAGTGCTGGGCATATGAAAGTAGAGCACGTAGTTTCATACAGCAGGAGTCCCCAGCCCCAGGCCGCAGACCCCTTGATGGGTCCATGGCCAGGAACCAGGTGACACAGCGGGAGTGAGCAGTTGGGCAAGCAAGCCGAGCTTCATCTGAATTTCCAGCTGATCCCCATTACCACATTGTCAGATCAGCAGCGGCATTAGATTCCCACAGGCGTGTGCACCTTAGCAGACAGTACGCTCCTCTGAACCATTCTGAAACCACCCCCACCCCTCCATGGAACAACGGCCAGAAATCCGACACACAGCACCGGGACGTTTGGATACCGGTGATGATACTAAACGGCTACACTGCTGGTGTGGGTATTTGCTAAAATTTGATGGTTAGTTTTAGAGCATAATCCTTTCACTTATTAAAAAAAGATCAGTGTGAACCGCCCTGTTCCACCAGCAGCAGCCTCAGAACTCTTGTGGCCGACACCATCTAGGTTTGTCAGGAACACCATCACGCTCACACATTGCCAAGGATGCACTTCTCGGAGCGCCACCGCCATGTTAAGTGACACGTGGCTGGCTGAAGAATGCAGGGCAGAGAGTCTGACCCTGCCTCCTGACACCACTTTGGGGCGTCAGGGGACACCCACGCTGAGACACCTGCTGGAAGCCAGAGCTGCTTTCATTCAGCAAACACTTGCTGGGCACCTTCAGGACAAGGTCCTGAGCCAAGCAGGCAGCAGGCACTGAAGAGCTGAGTAAGGACGTGACATCGTCACGGCAGAAGGTAAAGTGGGACCCAAGAGACGGGAAAAGCCAGCCAGCCCCCCGGCCCAGGGCACAGAAGCCCGGAGTCTGCCTTTACCTTTTTTGGTCTTACAAGGTCCACATTCGGGGTGAATCTCTTGTAAGGGAAGGGTTATCACCTTGGCCAGCCCCGCGTTCAGCATGTACTGGTACAGACGCTTAAATGTCCTCTCACACAGCCCCTGCCGAAACACAATGAAAAGCTGCTGAGCGAGGCACTGGAGGCTGCTGGAGTCAACACAACAGGCGCACAGGACCCGAATTAACTTATTATCCTAAATGAGGAAACACTGCCAAGCTACGTCGTCAAGGTAACAAAACATGGTTGAGAGCAGTACAGAAATGATTCTACATTTTGATTACAAGAGGGGGAAAGAGATTTACCTAAAGTGATCCCGAGACAGGTAAGAGCAGGAGGAGACTTTTCCTCTGACACCTTTGCATATTGCTTTGAATTTTTTAACCAAGTGAGAGTTATTACTAAACATACACCACACACACACACACACCCTCCAACAGCAGAGCTAGCATTGCAAGTTTGAGCTCAGCCTGGGCAACTTAGCAGCTTAGTGAGATCCTCTCACAAAAAAAAAAAAAAAAAAAAAAAAAAAAAAAAAAAAGCTAAGGCTAAGGACATAGCTCAGTTCCAAGGTCCGGAGTGCAATCTCCAATCCTGTCAAAAAATATTGTAATAGAATTGTTTAAAATGTGGTCCCAAGTGAAGACTACACTCACTCTATCACTCATCCTTCCGCTACACAGGCTCTAGCGCCTCCTTGCCATGGGGTTACTCATAGGCAGCCTCCCGTGCAGGCCATGCCTTTTAATCCACATATGTTTTAAAAAAGCAATTTAAGGGCCAGGGACTCAGCTCAGTGGTTCCGCTGCCTGCCTCACAAGCACAAGGACCTGAGTTTGATCCCCAGTACAAATAAAATAAAATAAATAAATAAGAGCAATTTATTTGCCAACATCAAAAGTGAGAGGGTCAGGGATTAAGCTCAGTGGTGTCACTTGCCTGCTTCACAAGTGCAAGGCCCCAAGTTCGACCCCGGGTACCAAAAAAGAAAAGAAAAAAGAAAGAGAAAGAGAGCTTTCATACTGAAAGCAAAACCAGACTTGCTTCTTTTGAAAAGCTAAGATTTGCCAATCGATGTGAAGAATGCAGCTGTCTGGTGGAGTCGAGGGCCAGCACTCCCAGTAGCAGGGAGTGTGGTCACCAGGGTGCTGTGGGCCTCATGCTCTATCAGACCCCTGCATGATAAAAGCAAAGGCCAGTTACCCTCCATCACCATTCTTGTGTTGCTTTTCTCCAAGGGTCCTGAAGAGGAAAGTGAACACCTTCAGCTGTACTAGCGGAATCTTTCTCTACACAAGGCCCATCTGGCTCACTCACAGCCTTCCTGGCTGCTGCCGCCATGTGATTTTGCAACTGCCACAGAACGAGGCCAGTTACCCTTGCTCTCCCTTCTGAGGGGCAGCAGGTGGAGCTCACAACCATGCGCTGCTGGAGAGGAAAACAGGTCCACAGGCCACCACCAACACACATCCGTGATCTGCTCTCAGTCCGGCCAGCACTCTCAGTTGCTGGGTGCCACAATATTTGGCGACCCAAAACATCAGGTAACTCCCACACGGCTCCGGCAAATGTGCTGGCTTGTACCTGGCTTCTGTGGTTAATCTAGTCCAGCCCGGGCATTGCAGGAAGACCCCATGGAAACCCCATGGAAACATCCGACCCCAGCCCTCAGCATATGGCACCAGACCCTGGACCATCCCAAGTAAGCAAAAGAGGAGGATGCAGACCCGCATTTGGGGGACTGCCATCAAGACTTGCAGTCTACCAAGCAACACAGAAGCGGCACCCAGAGTCTCCCCACCTTCCATATTCACGGCATCCACCTCGTCTATGAGCTAATGAGTCCGCGCTCTCTGACCCCTGCTGCCAGCTGCTGATTAGACATCACCAGGGGAGCTTCCCAGGAGAGCTTCACACTGAATGCCTCTTAAGGTCAGGTCTGTCATCTGCCTCCCCACACCCCAGCTTGTTCTTTCTGTACTCTGATACACAGGGCAACAAATGCTGCCCATTCTCCGCCTCGGCGTCTGAGAGGTGGCAGGGAGTAGGGGATAAGGGGGGCTGGCCAGTGCACAACTAGCTCCAGCTCACTATTTTCATGAGCAACTACAGGCCCAGGCTCACCAGAGCCTCTGACTTTTCAAGGGAAGCTGGAGGCCTAGTTTTCTTTGTGAAATCTCGACTGAAAAACAAATCCAATCAAAATATTTATTTTTTAAAATTAATTAATTTATTTTTTGGTTTTTTTGAGACAGGGTCTCGCTATGTAGTTGAGAATGACCTGGAACTCACTATGTAGCCCAGGCTGGTCTCGAACTCACAGTGATCCTCCTGCTTCAGCCTCCCGAGTACTGGGATTACAGGTGTGTACCACCATACCCAGCTCAAACTTATTTTTAATCGGCCAAGTCTCCCACAAGCCTCCAGTTTGTGATCTCTGCTTTGACGAGGCTGGGCATGCATGAACCTGGCAATGGGGAAGATAGAGCAGACAGTGACACATGGGGATGGTCCCGGTGTCCAGAATCAGGCTACAGACCAGTGGTGGTGAACGTAGGGCACAAGTGCCACAGCAGGCTGCTTGTTACACTGAAAGCTCTAAAAGGTTCTCCAGCCCTGCCATGATCCTTGGGGACTGATGACTAGCACTCAAGAAACTTGACTTCAAATTGTAAGATGCAGTTTAACCTATGAACTGCCTGAATCAGCCCAGAAGCAATGTCCCTCCACATTTTCTCTCCCTTTAACTCCCTGTCTCCTCTTCTGGGCCCAAGGGGAAGCAGGTCAAGAACTGCTTTTCAGCCAGGAGTGGCAGTACATGCCTGAAATCCTAGTATTCAGGAGGCTGAGGCAGGAGGATCTGACAAATTCAAGGGCAGCCTGGGCTACACAGTGAGTTTAAGGCCAGCCTGAACTATACAGTGAGATCCTGTCTCAAAAACACTAAAAAATAAAAATTAAAAACATACATGAATAAAAACAGAGAAAAGAACTGTCCTTCACTCTGTCATCTCCCCTCCCCTCAGCACAGCCACACTGCCATTTCAGTGTAAAGCCACTGGGACAAAATTACAGGTCTCATTTTGGAAGGAAATCTAAACACCAAGGCCAACCCTCCCTCACGCACTGTGACAGCAAGACACAGAGCAAACACTGGGAGGAGCGGAGTCAGCAGGGAGCACGGGGTCAGCGGACCACCGAGCTCTTGCTCCAGCCTACGACGGCTCCGGGTGGCAATGCCTCTCTACACGTAACGGCACCGCAGCCAGCCCGGCGCCCAGGATGGCCTCGCACGCTCACCAGCTCCTCCCGCAGCCTGCCCAGCGTCTCGATGCGGTTACTCCGGGTGCTCAGCACGCCCGAGAGCTTCTCCATGAGGATGTCGTATTTGCTCCTCCTGCAAGAAACACCAGTCAGGACATCTCGTCAAGCCTACGGCAAAGCACCATGTGTGTTAGAGACGAACCACAGAACCTTCGCCTTCGGGCTCTGTGGCCGCCAGCCTGACTCCCCCATCTCATAGCTGCAGAGCTTGGCTGTGAGCCGCTCGTTCACATGCCCAAGGTCACCTGGTGAGTGGCGGACACAAACAAGATTCTAGTATTAATGATGTGATGCGCTAGGAGCCTCCCATTCTTAAGTACTTCAGTGTTTAGGAAACTAGTATGTATTTCCTCGAAATCACTCGGGAAGAAGAGTGGGCGTTGCTTCATAAAGAGCCTCACCTTCCACCTCCTTTCTATTGTGAAGTCAGTGTCACACAAACCCTGCCGAGCTAACAGCCAACAGAAGGAGCTGGGAAGAGCTGAGCGCTCATGGTGGCATGTGCCGAGGACGAGGACAGCTCGGCTTGGGTCGCGCTCTGGGAAGGGGAAAGAAACGCGTGTACTGGATCCACAGGCCGACCCCACTTCTCCGTGTGTCGCCTCTTAGTGACGGAGAATCAGAGGGGACAGGTGTGCACAGGTGTGTACCGAGTATGACTACGATGTAAACGAAGCTCGCGTTCACTTAAGAGCAAACAGTGGTTCAGGGAGGCCAAGTGTCTTTGCCCAAGCAAGGAGCAAAGAAAACAACATGCAGATCGCGACTTAATTCATGTTCTTCCTCCTACCCCATGCCTGCCACCTCAGTTCTCCAGATCATGAGCCATGCCAGTCATGAGTTTAGTAAAGTGGTTATTTAACAGATTGCATGATGACTTAAAATGTGAATTCACCAATACCGTATTCTCCAATAAATTAGAAGATGGCTTAGAAACTCAGGATTTTTTTTTAACAGTGTGCATGTGTGAAGAAGGCCAATCAGAATCAACAGGACATTTGACAGGAGGACCGACCCGGTTCTCATGCCTCCAGGAGTGATTCCAATCCACAGCCAACGCTTTGCACAAGTGGGTACTATAAACTTCAACCCTTACACTTAATCAGGAGTAGCTCCCCTCCTTTTTGGAGAGTGCATCTGGCTCCCGGAGTAAAGGACAAGGAACCTGGCCAGAGGAGAACCAGTCATTCTCCACGGTCCAGGTGAGGATCTGCTGGCCCTCATCCCATCTACTGCTTAGCTTCACCTGCAGTGCCTGGCAGGCATCAAGGAGCCTGGAACTCACTCACCCGGGGCATTCTGCCTAGGCCCCATACCAGCTAGACCTTTCCCTAGCCTGGCTTCTGTTCTTGCCACAAAGAAGGGGATGGAATTGAGGGGTGTAGGTTGGGACCTCCGCGGAGTGGCAAAATGCCTCTTTTCCCCATTCCCATGCCAGGTATCAGTCACCTGTGAGGATTACAGTCAGAGGTGATCAGCTCGCTCCCAGGCGCCTTGGTCCTCAGAGTGGGGTGTGCATACTGTCAGCTCGCTGTACTCTCTGGACTATGACACCCAGCTAGAATAGCAGTGACAGGCACTGTAATCACTTATTAGGGCCTCACCGCTGCACCCACGTCGGGCGACTATGGCTGCATGTTTCAAACATGTCCAATGTGAAACTGACAAAATTCAACCCAACCCTGCCACCTAACAAATCAAATTGGACTTTTTAATGTTTATATCTCTCTGAATTTCAACAGAATGGTAACAGTTTCTATTTTGGGGCAGTGGAATTTCACGTATTTTTTTTTCCCCTTCTTTTCTGTATAATTTACATGTTTTCTAAATAAGCAGGACATATGTGCATCAGACACATACCTTATTTAAAAAGGTAGTCATGCCCCGACTGGGCATTAAGATTTTTAAAAGCATAATACGCACGGCTGCATAAAAGTAACCGAGCTCTTGTTCTCTACAAACCACACCTGTCCACATGGAACCGGTTCAGGAGCAGGAGGATGGAGTGTTGCTGGGCTCCCGTGGGCAATCGGATCACATGCGACTGCATTGTAATGAGCCCGTTTTTGTTCAAGATCTTCCGGTGATAATGAAGCTTTCCCGCGTCAACCCTGTGGCACAACAGAAGCGTGGGCTGCATCATTTTGCCTGTTGACGGCTTTATTCTCACAATGTACAGGTTTTTCACATAAACACCAGGGACCCCTCTCTCACACACATACACATTCGGTCAACCTAAGAGAACATCACTGTGAGAAGACAATCTTCAAACAGAAAGCCATGCACCTGGGGAAAGGGCAGAATGACCAGCAAGCCCCAACAACAAAGGGAGAGAAACAAATCCTCCCATACTTGAAAGCGGTTGTGTGAAGGTCTCGCTGCAGCTCTCCTTGCCACCTGGACCGGCCCAGTCGCTCCAAGATGCAGTAGGAGAAGTCGGGGAGCTTCAGGTCAGGGTCCCCCTCTGCGCCTATCAGGGCCCTGTAGCGCAAGTCTTGGGAGGCAACAATGATTAGCTTCTTGCCCCACCTGCAAGTCAGAAACAACCATAGGTGGACATACGTTCAACTGACTGTAAAAAAAAATCTGAAATGTGAAAAAGCAGAAGCTTTCAGAATCATCATTTTCTGTTTCTCCTGAATTCACAATACCCCTACTTTCACTTAGGCAAGTTTTCAGACTCAGCACGGCACAGGGTACAGGACCGGAGGAGATGTCCCTGCCCGGGCAGCAGGCTGTGAGTGGCACCTGCTTCTTGCCTTCCCTAGTTCTGCTATATCATTTTCTATCAGGAATCAGAGAGAAGTTCCACGTGGCTCTAATGGGCATGTCAGATGGTGACTGGGCAAACACAGCCCCTCCCTCAACAGCTGCCACGGAAGCCTAGACCCTGGTCTGTGAAGTGGCTGGGCTCTGCTGAGTTACGTGCAGCTGAGGTCAGAGTGACCCCAATTAAAACCCTTTCCCCTGAGTTATGGCTTCTCACTGACCCGATGGGTTGCTTGCTAACTGTACCCCGTCCCGGTACCTGTATCTTCTAGCCTAGAAGATAAAACAGTGCTTCTTCCTTGACAGCCCTGCCTGGCACCATCATGCCAGGTGCTTGGCAGTAATTCTCTAGATGCCTTCAAAGCTCCCCAGCTCCCTATTCCTTCCCATGTTGATAGTCAACAAATAAATACTGGATACTCCTGGGGGCCTTTGTCTTTGCTGCCATCAGCACCACTGACCGGGACCCAAGACTCAGCTTCTCCACTCTAAGTCTCGTTTCTGTCTGTTCTTGAATTCGCCTTGTGCTGTGTTGGCTCCAGGCCAGGACTTGCAGCAGACGTCCTGGTAACATCCCCTGCCCCGCTCCCTATACAGGATGAACAGAACTCAAGGAAGAAGAAAGAAAGGAGATGCATCCAGAACACAGTGCAGGTTAGGCCGCCAAAAGGAGAGGCGAGGATGGACGTGTGGAAAAGTCTGCCAGTAGAGGATGGGGTGTTAGGAAGGTTCACACTGGCAACTTCTCCCATCCGGCTGAACAGCAGAAAGGGAGTTGAGAAGAGGGCTGGGGGCTTGAGAAACATGACTACTTGCACTGGCCACCTGGGAAAACGAGACCCTGCCTGAGAACTCATCAAGGCACAGCTGGGCAGAAGAGGGTCCTGCTAGGAAGACAGTACAGGTGGCTCGTAAACATGGCTGGGATTGTGCATACACAGGAAGGGAAAAGACAAGACCCCGACCAGAACCAGTGCCACAGTAGCAGAGTGGAGAAGGCCAAGGTCTGGCTCAGGGCGCAGTGCAGGGCTGGTGAACTCAGACCTCCCAATGACTGTGCAACTCTCCAGGCCTGGCCACACCCCGACCTCAGAGCCCCAATCCCCCGCATTTCTGTCACCTATCAAATGCCTCCATCATTGTACAACGAGGCTGCAAAGACTTGGTCCTGATGTTACTGGTAATGTTTTTCCTCTCCTTGAAGAACTGGCATGAGCCCTGGATGCCATCCTTATTCTCTAAGATCATATGAATGGGGTAGACATCCTCCAAAGAGACCGGGTCCCTCCGGGACTCCAAAATTCCAGTTTCCAAGTCGATTTCTTCATACCTAAAGGGAAAAGCACAAATACCAAATGCCAACTCAGCTTTGGAAATACTGTACACCTGGAGTATTTGGGGTTTGTGTTTTTCTTTCCATCCTCCAGCAGAGATCAGAGAGGAGATGACATTTCTAAGCCTTCCTGCACCTCAAATGCAGACAGTCCTGACAAACAGGTTCCTGTTCCACAGAACACAGACCTTTGCAGGATCCCAAAGCTACCCTGGAAGCTGCAGAAGCTGTGTGTGTGACCAAAACCACCTTCCCGGCTAGGGCCAGGGATTTGGTTCAGTGGTTCCACCGGCTGCCTCACAAGGGCCTGAGTTCGATCCCCAGTACCAGACAAAAACAACAACAACAACAAACCAAAACACCTTCCCCCCACTAAAAGTTATGGCTGGTTTCCTTCCAAAAGGAAGGAAGTCTTCAGGCCACCAAGTTTGGGGTGAGCAATTCAAGGCTTTCCTCATCTCCTTTGTCATCTTTCCATCTCTCTTTTGCTATCTCTCTAGCCCTTTACCAGTTTTTTTATGGTTTTATCACCTGCATGCTGACCCTTCTCACCTTTGATTCTCAGTCCTGCCTTTCCCCCTCAAGTGCCAATTCAGTGTCTTCCACTATCTATCAGACACTCAGACTTCCTCAGATTAAGCAGTACGGCTGCCTCTCCCCTTCACACAACTCCTTGCTCCAAAGACACTCCCCCACCCTTAGCAACAATTAAGACATCTTTGACTTAAGTTTCTTCCTTTCTCCAGTCGGCCATGTCCGCCAAGTTCTCCTTTGAACTCTGGTTCACATCCTGCCCTAGACTAGCTGAGGCTAAACCCACACATGCTTTTCAACCTTTGTCTTCCTTGTCCTTTCCGGAGCCTCCAACTTCTTAACCTTCCATTTTCAAATCACCTCTGCCTTCTCCCCAGCTTCCAGTCCCCACTCTGCCCTCACTGTCTTCTAGCTCTCCAGTCATGCTCTCCTGGTCTTCTTCGGAAGTTTCTGTAGCCTCTATATCCCAACTTCAAAGGTAGGTGCAGCTCAGTGCTGTGTCTGAAAGCCTCCAATCGTGATGCATTCTGTCCTGGGGATGACTTTCTTTAGGCAACAGCTTTTATTACCATCTAAACAGATGACTCAGAGATCTAACCCAGCCCCTCCCTCTGGCCTGCTCGCACTCCCAGAAGCAAATATTTACTAACAGAACCTTTTCATGGACAACCAAAGGAACCTCAAACTCTGTGTCTCAAAGCACATTCAGCACTTTCCCCGCCTCTGCCAGATTGGACCACACACTCAGCTCTTCTGTGTTCCCTGCCTCAGTTAAGGGGGTGGATATTTACCTTTCCCTACATCCCACATCCACTCAAGTCTCCAAATTCCCTCATTCTACTGCCTCACATGTCTTAATTCCATCTTCTCCTCTTCATTCCGACATCCCCAGGGACAAGGCAGTCTAGCACGGGTTGTTTGTGACTAGATCACTACAAATCTCTCAGCTTCCCTTTTGCACTTAGTCTGACCCTCCTTTCAATGGCTTCCTACTGTCTTTTGGATAAAGGAAAAACTCTTTAAGTGGATTAAATAATGGTTAATTAATTTGGCTAAGGGCAGAGTGGGAATAGTAACAGGGTTCCTGGGATTCGAATTCTGCAATCTGTTCTTGCTACCCTGACCTTGAGCGACTCTAATTTAAACTACGGCTTAATTTTCTCTTCAGAAAAACACAGATAACAACACCTTTCTACCAGGCTGTTGTCAAAAAAAAAAAAAAAAAAAAAAAAAAAAAATGAAACAACTTGCGGCATGTAAATGTCCTAGAATAGTCCCAGATCATAATAAACACACAAGTGTCAGACATTAGTCTTCGTTCTCTACTTGCAATTCTACACTTTGACCAAACTTCATTTCTCTTGATCTGGTTTATATATTTGCCATTCTGTCCAGCATTCTGCCAACGGAAGGCCTAAATGCAACTGAAGCCTCCTTTTACCCATGATCATCTCTGGGAACCTCCACAGACACGCACAATATGGGTACAAGGCACAGATTCCGAATACAGACACCCAGGGTTCAAGTCACTTAGCGCCCCTGCGCCTGGGCAGGATTCTCAATCTCTCTCTGGTACTGTTTCCTCCTTTATACATTTGGAAGACAACGGCACCCACTTCACAGGGTTCCTGTGAGGATCAGTTCAATTCCGAAGCTCTCAAGATCTCGTAATGGCACCCAGCTCACAGGAAGCTCCCAATACACATCAGCTGTTAGCCTGATTGCTAAACTTGCTGCTATGCTGATCCCGGGGGCTCTAGCCCTCCAGTTTGATGCCAAATGAATGCTCCAGAAAGGTTTGTGGAACTCGACTGTCCCCGAGCTTGAGCTGCACAGCCTGCCTAATCCTACCCTCCACTTTAAAGGGACTACTCTTTGAAACCCGAAGAGTATCACCCCCGTTCCGGTCCCGCTCACCACCACCCTCGTGCACACAGACACAAAGGGAACACAATCAGACGCCCCCACACACACACCTTCTCCAGACCCCTGGGCCCTGCCAGCCCCTAGAGACCCCAAATTAGCATAGCCACAGCGCAAGCACCCCCTCCCCCATCAGATCCCCGGTCCTTCTTCGGCCTCCCTCTTTTCCCTCTCCCTCCTAGCTCCATGAGATCCCGGGCCCCAGGCCTGGCCGCTGACCGATCCTGCAGCTGGAGGTCGGGGCGCTCCCGAGGCTCTTCATAGAAGCTGATGCCCGGATGCGTGGCAAGAGCCCGCCACAAAAACTCCTGCGTGTAGGGCTCCAACAGCAGCGGGAAGGGAGGCACTCGGGACTCCAGACGGCTCCACAGAGCAGGCAAACACAAGCCATCGAGACCCTCCAAGGCCACTTCGTCCAACAACGACTCCAGCGCGTCCATTGCTTCTACAATTAGCAGCGCCTGGGGCGCCTGCGCACCGAGTCGCAAAGGGCCTCGATCTGCGCGCCTGCGCACAGAGAGCGGTGGCCCAGGGAGGTGGATCGGACCCCGCCTTCCGTTGAGTTCACGAGCGCCGACGTGACGTCACCCACAGGGGGCGGGTTCAATGGAAGGAGCTCCACCACCATTGGTCCGGAGCCCTGCAGTAACCAGGGGAACTGAAAACAGTACAAGGAAACTTCCGGTTCGAGCAACCGAAACTACCGGCTCTAGCTATGGATGGTGAGTGTCCGTGGGCCCCTCTGGGAGGTCCGGCGGTTAGTCTCTCATAGCTCTTAAGGCTTCTCTGGGCGGAACACTAGTTCGTAGACCCTCTGGACCACTACTGCCTGTCCCACGATGGTCTCCAACCTGAGGGAAAGAGAGACTGAGTGGTCCGGGATGGCGAGGAGAGGTAGGGGGAGCGGTCAGCTGTTCCTCCACGCTGCCAAGCTGGGGTAGTGTAGGAACCCGGGACTGTCCGGGGTCTCGGTGAGGGATTTATGGCGGGAAAGGCGAGGTAGAGGTCTCAGGAGGACCATGCGTATCTTGGGCGGTGGAACTGTAGGAACCGGGAATTGGTGTGGAGCGGAGCATGATCCTGGGGAGTGAATTCATCAGCTGCTGAAAAGGGGAGGCCCAGGAAGACTCCCTTTATTTACTTACGTGTAATGAGAGTCCACATTAACAGAGTATTGTTCAGTGCTGGGAGCTCTAAGTGCTGTCAGGCAAGCTTCATAAGTGTCATTTGAAGTCTGTGTTAATCTCCTACAGATGAGGAAACTGAGGTTAAGAGAAGTGACTTGCCCAGAGTCAAACGCCCAGTAAGTGGCAGAAGAGTGAGGAGCCCAAACACTGTTTCTGGAGCTGAATTGTGGAGTTTGGGATAAGAAAGGTTTTCAGGGGCCTTTTTTCCCAGCGGTTGCCAATTCAGAGGGCTACAGGTGCAAACTGAGTAGGCTGGATTAGGGCTGTGATTAGAAATCCGTGCCCCATTTGAAGGGGAAGCTGCTCGCTCAGCTCCTGCCAACTGCTTCTTGGAACTCTTCTTAGAAGACACCCAATCACTCTGAAGGCCAGGGTAGGCTGTGGGGTCGTCATCTAGGAATTTGCTCAGGGATGGGAAGACTGGAAGGGTCTGTGCTAACGTCCAGGTCATTATTCTTACATCACTGCCCGCACTTTGGGGAAACTGCATCCCTTTGCTGTCCACTGAAGAAGAAAAACCCGTTGAATTTTGAATTTTGAATTTTGTGTGTTTGCTTGGTTTTGGCTTTTTTTTTT